TTGAACCTTGTGGTTGTTGTCCTGCCTGCACTGTCTCCTTGACTCAGGGTTCTGTCTATGTGAGCAGAATTCGAGTTCCTTTCTTCTGTGAAGGTGGACATATAAAGCAGCACTGTTTGGGGAGGCTTCCTGCACACTCTCGAGTGCTTCTGCTCACGCCTGGAGTGCTCAGGGCTTTCCCCTGAGCTCACCTTTGGTAACAGCCACGCCCAGCTGTAGGCGCCATCTTCCCCACTACCCCGCCTGTGTGTGCAGCAGAGCAGGTGCCCCCGCAGTAAGCAGTGAGGACTGCTTTTTTTTTTTAATGAGCAGAATATATTTATTGGGGGAAAGAAAGCTCCTGTCTGAGAGAGGGACAGGAAGGGGGCCCTGAGGGGGTAGTCCCCAAAATTGATTCATCCAGCCAGTGTGGAGCCTGGATAACTTTCTTTTTTTTTTTGTACCAGGGATTGAACCCAGGACCTTGGGCTTGCCAGGCAGGCTCTTATGCCACTGAGCTATCTCCCCAGGCCCTGGGCTTTGCAAAGCTTTTTCTGACTTTCTGGCCTACTCACTTTGCAGAGATGGTTCGAACCCCTTGCAAACTGAGTTTGGCTTTACCTGCTAACAGCTATGATTAATGTCTAGCGGGGTCCACTAGCTGACTTTAGATGGCCACAGAGTTGTTTCCAGCAATGTAAGCTTAAGTAATAGTAACGTCTGAGTTTATGCCTTCTGTTGTCTGACCCATTTGGTAGAGGCCTGTTCTTTAGCAGTTTTGAACCAAGTTGTATAAGCGATGACACTATTCCTGGCTACGAAGAGCCCAGTCCGGGCCAGCGTGATGCTTGGGGTAGCTGCTATTTTTAAGAGGGTTTGCAGGTTAATGGAGGGTTAAGCACAGACCCCATTTGCTGTGAGCCCTTGTTGTAGAGGATGCTGAAGCTCCCGCTTGCCCACCATAGTAAGTAGAACTTTGGGATCATGATTATGCCTTTGGTCGTCCCCTCTGTCACCCAAGGTTGATGTTCTGAGCGGCTCTGGCTGTCACATGGTTCTGCAGCAGTTGAAGATGGGGGAGATGCTGGCCTAAAGACCTTGCTTGTCATTGCCTCTTGGAGTAAAGCAGTATTAGCTTATTTCTTGTACTACTTGGAATCTCAGACTGGAGCACCTAAGGGACAAATGTGGAATGAATTGACTGAAGACTGTCATTATTTGGATTCTGATCAATTTAAGGTAGTACTAAAGGCTGAACAGGAAAGAAACATCTGAAGAGTCCCTTGGGTGTCGGGTTCTGTCCAGCCCTTGTGCTCTCGTTAAATCCCTCCAACAGCCTGATAATGTGGATGTCTCTGTCCTGGCTCTGCTGTGAGGAAACCATGTCTCAGCGGCTGGGCTCCTCAGCAAGGGCCAGCTAACTCACTGGTTAAGGGGCAGAACTGAGATTTGGAGTGAGCATGGGCCCCTGGTCTCTCTGTCTCCCACACGTCTGTGTTTTTTATTGTACCATATTATTGCCTCCTAGCAGAAAAATAGCTGGAGAGTTAGGAGGCCCCAGGCTCAAGTTTGTCTTCTTGATCCGTGTGTGCTGTGTTGGCTGCTGGTTGTGTTTTCGCTGTAAAGTGAGAATGACCAGTGGTTGGCTTGGAGGCCTTTGGAGCATTGTCGGGCTCAGGCTGTGACACCTCGTGGTGCTCTTTTGTGGTCCTCTGCAGGCTGGGAGGAGCAACAGCAGGAGCTTGAGGCTGCACAGGACGCCCAGAGTGCCTGAGGCACTGGGGAGAGTGCAGCCTCTTTAGTGCTACTGTCTTTCCTTTATTAAATATTGATGGGCCTCGCACTTAATGTTTCCGAAGAGCTTCAAGTTCATTTCTCCCCTTTTCCCTAAATACACTGGTCGGTACTGGTGCTTTCATTTTAGAAAACTGCTAGAGACTGTCGTTTGGACAGTCATCGTGCCATCTTACCAGATCGTCACTGGCCGCCAGCACAGGGGTGTTATGGTGTAGATCCAGTATGTCCCCTAGAAGTCTGATGTAGGGAGAAGGTGGCTGGATTGTGGGAATGCCTGCTCCTCCGTGAGTTCATGACTCCCTGGTCCCTGGGACCTTGGGAGGGCGCAGCCCCCTCCCGGCTTTGCCTTTCGTGCCCTGCTCCTGGCTGCCCTGGGTTGAGCAGTGTTTCCCACCGTGCTTTTCTGCCTTGGAGTCAACCAACCATGAACTAAGTTCCCTGAAAACCGTGAGCTGCAGTAAGTCTTTCCTCCCTTAAGTTGTGGCTGTCAGGTACTCCGTTGCAGCCACAGGAAAGCTGGCCAGTGCTAAAGGTATTTCATTTCCATCTGATAAATGAGGCGTCAGAGGCGCTAACGTGCGCAGGTTGGAGCAGCAGCAGCCAGTGAGGAGGCTGGAGTTTGAGCCCTCACTATGCCTTGTTAAAAGGCAGCTGTGGGCGGGGTTGTAGCTCAGGGGTAGAGACTTGCCAGGCATATGCAAGGGCCAGGATGCAATGTCCAGTATCATATACACACGAAAGGCCCGTCGGAGTAGGCGTGCAATGAACACTGGATAAACTGGGACCTTTTATGAGGCCATATAATCGGAAATGATTCCTTCTGCATTCAGCTAGTGGGCCCTTTACATAAGAGGTTTCCTCTGCAGGTCACTGGTGTGGCCGAGTCCTGGTACTGTCGGGACTAGCAGTAGCAACAGCAGTGATACCTGATAATTATTGCTTATGTGGCCATCGCCACCCTGAATGTTCTGTGTTTCATAACTTAATTGACTCTTCTTTACTAACTCCATGTGCTGTCTGAGAGAGTACTTAGTGTACAGATCAGAACGCTACCCTGAGATTGAATAAATTGCCCACTGATCCCTAACAACTGGCAAAGCCAGGTTTCAATCTGACTCCAGAGTCTAAGTTCCTAATTTTATTGTAGTATGTACTTGCTAAACATATTTCCATATTACTTAATTTTTTCCTCAGGAATCTTTGGGTACCATGTGTACATGTGCACATGCACGTGCGTGTGCCTCTGTGTGTGTGTGCGCGCACACACACACTCTCGTGGGTGTACGTAGGATCCCTGAGGCTTAGTTGGTGCCTGCAGGGTACACGCTCTATCACTGAGCTATGCCTTAGCACTAGGTATGCTTATGTAATGCCTCCTCTTTCTGGTTTACCACCCTGATTTCCTGATTTCCTGGTCTTTAAATTTTATAGAAGTTGGGTCACCAAGATCCTCAACACCCAGGTTGCTAAGGGCATAGGAGTTTTATTTGTGCCCCATTGGACTTCTTTGTTTCTTTTAACCTCTGCCACAAGGTGACTGTAAGACTTGGGCTACCAGAACCTCAAACGGTGCCTGTCTCTTCCCTTGTCGTTGCACACTCTTCTCCTCAAAACGCGGATTCTTGGAACTGACTGACCCCTGTCAGCTATTTAAAGACTGTGCTGTCGCTTATTCTGAGAGACTCAATTAGACACCCAGGGCTGCTCTGTTTATCTTCTGCTCCACTGAAGTAGGTCCTTTCTCTCAGAAAGCTGCCTGTGGTCTATGTGGTCTCAGTCCAGGCTGGTCCCTACCAGGGCCACCTGCTGATCCTAACCACATCACAGGAACTTAGCTCCATGGGTCCCTGGTTAGACGCCCAGTGGGCTTGCTGTAGATCCATTATTGACATTCTGTGTGCGTGCTTTCTCCTCTGGGTGCGCACCCCCCGGGAAGTCTTTCAGGAGTGGATGCCCTCCCTCCTTTCTTGTCACTGGTTTAGCTTCATCTTCACCCCACTGATGGCCCAGTACAACCCCCAGGAGGCTTGCAGCAAGACCTTTAGCCACTTCAGCA